GGGAGCTGCCCGCCGGGACTCCGCTCGGGGCCGGGACGCTCCCCAGGCCCCGCATCCCCCCCCCATCCCCTTCCCGCGGGCGGGCCGGCCGGTGGGCTGACGGCCGGGCCCCTCTCCCCGCTCCCAGGATGCGGATCGTGGACGACGATGTCAGCTGGAACAGCATCGCTGCGGCCCAGGAGAAGGAGGAGGAGGAGGAGGACGAGGGGGACATGCCTGTGGTGAGAGGGGAATTATGTCCAGCTCAACCCATTCCCCGTACGGCCCGCCTCGTGTCCGTCCCGGGGAAGCGCTTGCCCAACCCTTTCTCCCTGCCTCCTCTCTTGCGGGGCTCCGCAGCAGGGATGGGTGAGTTGCCCAGCTCCAAGCGCAAGGGGTGGGTTTAGGTCCCTGCTAAAAGCAGCCCGTTCTTTACGTATTTTCATTTTCACGAGCGCCAGAAGCACGGGGAGCTGACAGCTGCGGCGGGGCTTGTGGCCTGGGCTGGGAATCCTTGCAGGGAAGAGCTGACACTGAGGGGGAGGCTTTGGAGAGTGGCTTTGAGATCGGCCTGGAGGAAGGCAGTAAAATGGTGGTCATGTATCAGCTGCCTGTCAGTGCAGTTACGCTCAATTCTTTGGGTTAGAGAGTAAAAACCCTTTCTTTTATTTAAAGCCATGTTGGTTTTTGTGGGGTTTTATCTACAGGTGGCAGAATTCATTGATGAGCGTCCAGATGAAGTGAAGCTCATGGAGCAATTCCGAACGAATGCTAAATGGAAACTCTTAGGAGGTGAGGCCAGACCTTTCCACTTTCTCTCTCACTTGCAACAGTTTAGAGCAGAGAAACAGTCAAAGATAATACTAGCTGGAAAAAAAAAACTTCTTGAAAAGCTGAAGAGGTGATGCACTGGGGACAGCCCTCACAGTGGTGACTTTCTGATTGTTTTTCTTCAGACCAGAACGAAGATTCGCAAAGCTCAGATGTTTCAGTACCTGCCAGATCTACTGTGAGGTACGGGGCTCCGACTAGAAATTCTTTTGTGGGTAAACTCTTGTTTTCTGGCATCATCTGTCTTGTGCGGTTTTTAAGTGCTTTGCTGTGAAATGTGGGAAGCGGCCTATGCCGGGGTTCATCTTCTGCTGTTGAGTTCCCTCTGCTGGTAGGGGGGAGCTGGTGGGTAGCTTGCTGTTTAGATTTTTGCGTTCACAAAGTTGGTTTCACCTTCTCCTCCCTCCCAGGCGCCAGCGCCACGACTCCCCCGACCCGTCACCACCGAGGCTGAAGTACAATGTCTCCCCCAACCTCTCTCCCCCAAGACGGAAGCGCCACGACTCCCCCGACCTGTCACCTCCCAGGCGCCAGCGCCACGACTCCCCTGACCTGTCACCTCCCAGGCGCCAGCGCCACGACTCCCCTGACCTGTCACCACCGAGGCTGAAGTACAATGTCTCCCCCGACCTCTCTCCCCCGAGACGGAAACGCCACGACTCCCCCGACCTGTCGCCTCCCAGGCGCCAGCGCCACGACTCCCCTGATGCCTCTCCAAAGAAAGTCAGTTCAGCGATGGGGAAAAAGGGCTGCAAAACCACGGACAAATTGCCGACAGGGAGAGGCCAAGGAGAGCCGTCTCGGCTCAGACATGGCACCTCTGACAAGTCCTCGTCACGTCAGAAGCATCAGGCCACTCCAGATGATTCCCCTCCACAGAAGAGGAGGTACGATTCTGACCCGGATTTGTCACCGCCTGGGAGAAAGAGCACTGGGTCACCTAGTCCGAAGAAGCTGAGCAGAACGCGAGGTGAGTGTGTGTGGGAGTCTGTTGTGCCAGTGCCGTGCTTTGCTGCCTGCCCACGCTGGGATCAGGTTTGCACGCTCCGGAGAGGGGAGCGGCGTGGAGTTGGTAGTCTGCACTCTGGGAACAGTAACGGGTAGGTCGCCATCTCTGTTGGGGAAACTTGTTCTTGTAATCCTGTTTTTTCATCAGTTGGACTAGAATTAACCTAAGAGTTAGCTGGCAAAGGCTTAAACTCGTCTAAAAGGAAGAGAGAGTTTAAACTGTGTCGTTGGGCCGTGCACAGTCAGAAGGAAGAGCATTCACAGAGTCTTGTCACATACTTGTTTTTTCTGTACAGCTTGTCACCTCTTAAGGTCTTGATTTTTCTCACAGTTACCCTCACACACCACCATGTGTAGCCCTTCTGTGGGACTAATTGTGTCTAATTCTGTGATTTTTGGTTCGTCTTTACGGCAGGTGCTTCTCCAGCTGTGAAGAAGGGGAGGCTGGTGCCCTCACCCGCGAGGTGCCTGAGGCACAGCTCCAAGTCCCCGTCCCCGCGGAGGGGCACCCGGAACGCCTCCGAGGCTGAGCGCGGGCTGGGCCCCGTACGCAGCGATACCCAGAAGCGTGCTCCTCTCAGACAGACCCAGAGCAAATCCTCAGACTCGGATTTATCCCCTCCGCCACGGGCCCTGCCAGCCGGCAGAGATCAGCGTGATTCCCCCGACCTCTCACCTCCTCGCCACCGCGACGCTCAGGGGTCGCCCAAGAAGGTAAACGCTGCGTCCTTCCGCTTCACCTGTAGATTGCTTCCTGCTGATAGGAGACCCTAAAAGTCCAACAACCCGCCAGCTGCGGAGTGGGGATTTCACAGACTTCGTGTGTGCAGCTGTGCCAGACCCCCTGCTTGCAGCGAGGGGTGTGAGGTGGGGGTGAGAGAGGGGCGCTGCCTTGCTCTGCTCTGCTTCTGGAGCTCTGGGGCAGCTGTTTGTGAGGGTCCCCACAAAGCGCTGTTGGAACGCGGCTGTCTGCCCGCGCATCTCCTGACTCCTCGGGATGGCTGGACCGTGCTCAGCCAGTAGTCAGCGCGGTTTTTCTTTGGTTTGCAGGCGAGGACGATGTTTTCTGGGGTTAAAGCTGGCTTGGTGTCAGCTGACGTGCTGCGCAGGGAACAGGAGGAGCTCAGGAGGCACGAGAGAAATAACAAGCACTTGGAAGGTAGGGATGTGAAAACGCTGCAAGCACCAGCACGCTACCTCTTTCCTGCCCTCGGCTGCCCCTGCTGCTGCCTCGGTGGTGTTGGGGTGCTGAGGGGGGGCGTCCCGGGGGAGCCACACCAATGCGTGCCAATGGATTCCTTGGGCAGGGTCACTGACCCCCAGAAATAACGTTTATGAATGGTGATGTCCGAGCGGTGCCGGTGGAATTGTAGCGAGGGTGAGAGGCTTTTTCTCGGCTCCAGCTGCAGGTCTGCAGAAGCAGACTGGTGTTGTGAGAGCTCCAGGCACGAGCGTGGCCGTGTGGGGCAGCAGCTGGAAGCGCGAGCTGGGATCCTGCCTGCTTTTGGATAATGAGCTCTGTCAGAGGCCAGAACAAGGAAAAAGTGTTGAAACGAGTCACGGTTAGCCGTCATATTGTCTGGAGACGGCAAAATGCTTCAAAATGCCTGACTCGAGGCATCTGCCCCCTCCAGAGGAATCCCGACACTGTGAGACCGTCTTCCGAGACAAGTTGGGCCGCAAGAGAAACCTGGCGCAGGAGTGGCTGGAGCAGAAGCAGAAAGCTGAAGCCAAGTCCGAGAGGGACGAGCAGTATGCCAAATGGGGGAAAGGGTAAGGCTCTGCCGAGCTCCCCTGCACGCCCCTTCGGCCTCGCGCTGCAGTGGAGGACTCCTCACTCCCTGCTTTTTGGCCCGGTTTTGGCACCGGTGCCACGTCACTTCATGCTGAGCTGGAGCCTGGGACGTCTCCGGTCCGGCCTGATTTTCACGTGTCTCAGAGGCCCCTCCGGGACCCGCTCGGCTGCTGGACATGCTTCGGGAGCGCCGCGTGCAGCGTGGTGGTTCCGGGCTCAGACCCGTCCTGCGGGTCCAGCCAGTCACAGTAAATGGTTGCTTGGCTTCAGGGTGAAACTGTGTTTGTTTGCAGGCTGGCTCAAGGGAGGCAGCAGCAGCAGAATGTGGAAGATGCAATAAAAGAGATGCAGAAGCCCTTGGCCCGTTACATCGATGACCAGGACCTGGATCAAATGCTGCGGGAGCAAGAGAGAGAAGGAGACCCCATGGCTGAGTTCATCAAGAGAAGGAAGGCCAAAGAGAACAAGGAAAAGAAAGGTTTGGCTGTTGAGTCGCACCGGTGCATGGTTTAAGGGTCACAGTGTAGAAGTGCAGCAGCTGCTAAAGACAAAGCCGATGCTGCCCGAGTTGGCTGGTCTGGAGTTGGCGTGGCCGCGGTATTGGCGGGGACCGCCTCGGTCCCAGGAGCGGTTACTGAGATTTGCTAGCGTAGAGCGCGGTGTCAGCGACCTCCAAATCAGACTCCAGTGGATTAGGCACATCTTTGGGGGCTGCAGCTGGGTGCTGGGCTGTGCCTCTTGGGATGGTAATGGTGTGAGCCGGGACTGTGCCGCAGGAGTAAGCGGCTGCATCGCTCTTCCTGTTCCTAGAGAGACCGAGGTACAACGGACCAGCCCCTCCCCTCAACAGATTTAATATATGGCCCGGGCATCGCTGGGACGGAGTGGACAGGTACATCTTGCTGGCGTGATGGCGTGCGAGGGTGGTAGCGAAAGCAGAGGAGCTCTTGCTTCAGAGCTCGCGGCGCAGAGCGTTACCAGATGAGCGGGGGAGCAGCGTAAGCCTGAACGTGCTGCGGCGCGAGCGGCTGACGAGGAGGTGCTTGTCGGGGACGGGAGGGAGCGAGGCTGGCAGGGTCGGCACGGGTGCGCTCGCTGCGGGGCGCGGCAGAAGCTTGGCCCGGGCAGCGGCACAGCTCGTCGCGGCGCTGGAGTGCTTCGCGGCCTCAGGAAAGCTCCGGCGCAGCAGCCCCACGCTCTTCTCGCTGTCGCTTTGTAGGTCCAACGGCTTCGAGCAGCAGCGCTTCGCCAGGATCGCCAACAAGAAGGCGGTTCAGGAGCTCGCCTACAAGTGGAGCGTCGAGGACATGTAACCGGGCCGCGGGGCCCTGCCACGCTTGGACCCAGAGGCGAGGCTGGGCCGGGAGCAGCGCGGCCAGGAGAGGGTTTTCCCATCAGCCCAAGAGGACGAGCACTGAGAACCGCGGCGGGGAGGCTGCGGGACGGCCACGGCTCTGCCGCTCCCTGGGAGGTGCTGCAGGCCCTGCTCTCTGGTCCCTTTATCTTCTTTATCTGTCTTCTAACAAACCACATAAACTCTGTGCTTAATCGTTTGATGCCAAATACTTTGTCCTCTGAGGGCAGTTCGCAACTCTTCAGGTGTCCTAAATCTCAGGTTTTCCTTCGTGGTGAAAGCACGTGGGGCGCTGGCTCACGGCAGAGTTAACCTCACCCGGTAGGTCAGTCTGGTCCAGAACTCAGTTGCGGCTTCGGCTGTTCCAGTTGTTCCAGAGAGCAACTCTGCCCTAAAACTACTTAACAGGGTGAGCTGATCGGCCTCTGGGCTGATGTCGGATCCCCTGTGCCCTTCCCAGTGCACCCCAAGGGCTTCCCTTTGCTTTGTCGTTGTCCGAGCTCCTTCCTGCAGTCGCCGCCTTTCAGCGGAGGGTTCATAAAGCTCGGCCTGTCCTGGCCCGCTCTGCGCAGCGGAGAGCGATCGCCCTGCAGAGCTGCGCTTGACAGCGGGACCCCCAGGGACCCGGCAGCTCTTTGCGGGGCGGTTTCTTGCAGAAATTTGCAGGTGGAGGCGGTTAAACTGCTTCCCCCGATGGCTCTGGTGGAGGAGCGAGTGGTGCAGACTCATGCTCGTGCTTGAATTTGTCGGTCTCGGGGCTGGAGGCGGGGCAGAGACCTTCCCTTCATCCCTGCCTGCGAGGAAGCGCTTCTGGAAATAAATCCCGTTGTTCTCGGGATGTTAAACGCAGGCAGCGGTTTCTACGGAGAGGCCTCGCCTCCGGGAGCGGGCGGGGGCAGCCTGACCGAGCGCTGGGGGTCCGGGGGCGAGAGGCACGACCACACACGCCTCTGGAGCGGGACAGTCGTGAGAACTTCCTTCCCGGGTTTTTATTCCCTGTGTTACGTTTCTAGCAGTCCTGGAATCTGTCTGTACACTTGTAAATAACAGCTTCCTTTTTTTACTGGATTTTGGCGTGGTGGTGGTTCTTCCCGGGCAGGGACGAGGAGGGTAAATCCCTGTCAGCCGCCGGTAGAAGGGCTGGACATCGCC